GACACACGTAAGTTTAAAATGTCATTTAGAATTTCTATGTAGCTATCTTTTTTTTTTAGAGTTTTGGACATACAAATGTCCTGTAGCTATACCATTTGTTGAACGAGTAATTTTAGCAAAAACCAACATAATAATGATACAGGTATCATTAGACTGGTGGGAAAACAAGCTAGAAGTTTGATATATAATAGCCATTTAAATATGAAGTTATTTCATGTTGTTCTTAAATATGAAAATACTATCTGTAGCTCACCATGCATAGGTAGCTATGTAAAGTAGCGCACGGTGTCCATGGGTGATATATTTGTACAATGACTTTACCCTGTAATATAACATGTATCAAAACTTAAAAAACAATGAGCACTAACATTAGCCTATACATGATGAAGTGGACTATGTTGGCTTCAAAATTATTTCAAGATTTTGTTTTTATTTGGTTTGAGACTACAGTTTTGGCTATTTTACAAATCTGTGTCTACACAACAAAAGCTAGCTTTATATGTAGTTCGCTTTTGTAGTTAGCACACGTGTAAATGTTGTGAAACATCTGCCTGAATAACCTATGATATTTAATTTTAGACAGTTTAAAAAAAAAAAAACTATCTGCGGGGGTCACATTTTGGGCTAAAAACACGTTTTCTTTTGCATTTTTTGGGTGTTCTTTGATGTGATAAGCATTGTTTTCAAAGAATCCAAATTTGGGGATTTCGTGTTTTGGAAAGACATTCATTCTTCTGAGAAAATGTATTAATACTGAAGCTTATAAATATATTTATCCGCCCGAAGAAGCCCTAGAAGGCAGAAAGGCCTAGCGGAAGATCTGAAAGATTTTTGTTTTTTATTCTATATTTTCCTTCGCAAGGAATTATTTATTTATTATCTACTTGCTATATACAAATGTATATATATGTAGGTGTGTAGTGCAGGATGAATCCACTATCCAATTTTATCTGAGACATGGTCTTTATTTTTAGGATCAGGCCATTTCTGCTGTAATCTGCAACATTACTTTCAGAATGTTCAGCAAACACTTTTGGCAAAGACTGTCTCCTCACATGTCATTGTAAGACACCCGGATGTAACCGTGTCACTGGAATCTGTTTCTCATCTGATGGTTGTAGCGACGAATACATTGGTAGCTCGTGCAGTAAAAGTAAGAATTACCACATTGGATTCATCTTAATACTGATATGTAAAAAACACATAAAAATGAGTTTCCTGGCACTTCCCTGGTACTTTCACCTCTTTAGAGGTCCATCAAGACGCCATATTTATATTGCACTCTAACGTCAATATTTGTGGAAGAACAGAATTGGTGTTACAAAAATAGATATATAATTACAGGAATAAGTATAGCAACATACTTTTCGAATGCAACGAAACGATCAGTGCTGTTGGAATTTTACACAGGTTTTCATTTATCGATTAACATTGATTGTTTTTGACTTTCTTTTGCATAGTCTCTTCTGTAGTTCGAATTACATGGAACTTATCATTTGCACAAGAATACATATGTTTATTTATAGTTAAACATCTAAGATGGTCACGTTTTGTCTATTCTCTGTGCTGTGTCATACGTTGACACAATTCCCAACTAGTTTGTCTATTGTCAAATTCAGAACAATGAGCACAGATCATTGCATATATGTATAAAGCTTGCACCTTATTACAAAGATTTAGTGAAACGTATGGAATGGGGTTAACTATGTTGTTTTTATAAAAGTAACTAGAAGGAAGCACATTTTTCAGCTTTAAATTGCATCCGAACATGGATAAAATAAAACAAAAAAATCCAAGGGTAAACATAACCGTTAATCGGACTCAAAATCAATAAACTAAGAGAAAATTTTGAATGAAAAAGCTTCTTTCTGTATAAACATAGGTACGAACATGGACACGAACATAGTATTGAGAATCTGCTTTAGTCAATATAACGATAACAGGAGGGGAGAACCGGTTTCTACCGACAAGAGGAAAACCACCTATACAGGCAGAGCCATCTGCTAATATATATACCGTCCTTAACTTGAAATAAAGGATACAATAATCTCTTCTATATCAGCCGTTTTCCTTGATCTTTAGTAGCAATACGGCTTAGAGGATCAATGAAGATTATGGGTTAAATTGAAAATTACCGTCATGATATCATTTGTATATATACTATTTATTTATGACATATGAAGGTCGATGCTTTTTTATCATGTCCAGTAAGGTGCCCTTTTGTTTCACCGTCACGGCCCCGGTTATCGCTATGAAGACGTGAATTTAATTGGATTTGAACTGAATTCTCATGGCAGGTGTCGTCGATAAAGTAAAAGACGCTTACCCTTCCGGAAATCTTCTTATTGAAGAGTCTCCATGTAAAAAATGTTTGTTAATATTTTGCCTCAGGTTTATTGCTTTTGAGTTCGAATTGCGGTTTTCTTGACACGTGTGTTTGTTCTGCATTCTGCAATGACATCCTACATTTTTAAAGATTCCCATACCACTGACAAAAGCTGTAACTATACACTGTAAACCGATTTTTCCGACATAACTTGCGATAAATGATTTCTGAAAAGAAACCATACCTTGCGGGATTTTCAGGAAAACTAATAGACAGGATATAGACAAAATATGATCAACAATAGGCTTCTGTTTATTGAAATTCAGAGGGGACGGACCGGGATTCGAACCCTGGACGTCATATTGTAAAACTATTGGCCAAGCAGGCTGATCTACCTGGTCAATGGAAGTGTCGAGGCACAACTATGCTGGTTATGGCTAAAAACAAATTTAAGGGGATATTACTGCATATACGAAAAACTACTGTGCTGTGCGACGCCTGTGATACTCAGTGTTTTTCGTTGTAATCTTTGATAACGTTTAGTTCTTAACTGAAGTAGTACTACTGTGGATATATTCTGAATAATAAAATGTGGTTATAACGGAGTTAAAACCTTTAAATAACCTGACATCGGAACAAAAATCATTCGGAATGAACTTTGACTTAATACGCTTTTCAAATAATGATATACTTCCTGATAATAAACAAAAGTATTTTAACTACCCGTTCAAAGCTGTTGTAATTGATATGGTTTGTTTTACCTATATATTACCGCGTGTGAACATAGAGCGTGAGCATTTTTCATGCATTGTATTTGTTTGCATTAAAGAATATCTCAAGAAATGGATGTCCATTTGCTTAATGAATAAAATTCCTTTGTCAAAGTAGCAATAACTCTCACTATTAATGATGAAAAAAAATATCATGAAGCTATTATTGAAGTTTTTATGAATTTGTAAACTTCATAGCATTAAGTACTAATTGCCATTTCGATTCTATCATGCAAGGATGCGACGATGGTTTATTTGGTCCATCCTGTGAACCCTGTTCTACTGGTTGTACCGATCCTGTATGTAACAGAACTTCCGGATATTGTAGTAAGAGTGACATTCACTATCTATTATTTATAAAAGCTATCAATACATTTACTATAAATTACTTAGATTTACACTTCATTGTTTGCGTGTCCATATAAAACCTTGGTTATAATTTTATTATGCATTACATGAGAAAATGTGCCCTTTCTCTTTCAGTTATCATTAGATCCTGTGCGAGAGTTGTTTTCCTTTTTCCTGTATCACTGATATGTATGATAGTTTACATGATAAAAATATATCAGTTGACTTCATCGCGTTTATATTAAATATATTGACCAAAGTTAACACATAACCAAGTCATTCATGTTTATTTTCATATGGTACTTCTTTGAAGTTTTTGATAATGCTGAGGTCCTGGGGTAGACATTATCCTTCATACCAGTGATGAAACAATTCAATGAAAAGGTACATGTATACCGGGTTCAAATTTGGCCCATGCATGCTGAGCATAATTTGTATATGTATGCTCTAAAGCATTTCATATTTTTAAAACCGTATCTCAGCAGGCGTTGGAGTTATAACTCTCATGACTGATTATCTATTTACAACAAGTTGAAGGAGGTTTCGAGAAAGACACCCTGTAAGAAATTTGATTTAGGTTATTGTTGTTCAGTTGGTTTTACAATGCTTTACAAACATGATAATTGTTTTGTTAAGGTTGTAAAGATGGTTACCATGGAAATGACTGCAGTCAGATGTGTCCAATTGAGTGTAAAGGAAACACGTGTGTTAAAGTAACTGGGTCATGTACAGGTAGTTAAAGATTTCATTCACCTATTTTCGAAATTTTGCCTTATTATATACTTTTTTATTTAAAGAAATAATTTTCAAACTTAACGACACTGTAATAATTCATTTCTCACTCAATCCCTTTGTTTGAAGAATGTTTCGTTTTTACTTTCTCATCATCACTAATAGCAATAAAAAAATGCAAAAATACATTTTTTAAGCATTTACTATTTCTATGGTACTTGTAGGTTGTTTGTCAGTTGTCAGTATTTCCAACATCAGTAACACTGAATAACAGAATACTCCTTTTTTATTTCCGCCAATTACGTACATTAGAGACGATCGTACAGGAACGTAATACCAATGATATGTTTCTTGTTCAGTTTGCGAACCTGGATTCTATGGTGACATATGTGACAAGGCCTGTCCACTCAGAAATTGTAAAAACAACATATGTTACCAGACTGATGGTCAATGTACCGGTATGTAAAAAGGAAAACATATAGCAAAATCCCATTTCTTTATGTAACCATAAAACGTAGCTGTTTTAAAAGTCGTACTTAAGTAAGTGATCTTTATTGAGATCTAACTCATACTTTTATCTGTCTATTTTAACTTTTTATTTAATTTACTAGGGAACGACTCGTCGATATTAATACACTGTATAATAAGGCATGAACACAATTTGCTGTATCTTCTTTTACAGTTGTTATTTGTTCTTAAGCATTCACAAAAGTCAAGTGACAATATTTTTGAAGCATTATCAAGATTTATCAACTGCAAAACAACTCATACGATCAGCTTGATTTAGAAACACCCCGCCCCATTTTTACAATTGTCTGGCAACAATTATAGGTTACTATGCCAATGATTAAATTTTAAGTCTGAAAATTATATTCTCAATATGTTTGATTGCACTCAATGACGGAAAACCAGCCAATGACAATACAAACATCGTTACTCATTTGTACGCTTTAAAGATAGTATGCACGTTACAGAGTGTGCCACTGGACTATATGGTGCTGTCTGTGACCAGATTTGTCCGGATAACTGTAATAAAGAATGCGATAGAATCACCGGAGTATGTAACGGTACGTTCACTACAACATGATGTTTAACATATGCATTTATAGATGAGTAAACGTGATACAAAAAACTTTCTTAATGTTTCGTTACCCTAAACGTGTTTATAGGCATAAATGACATCTAGGTCACTGACAAGTTTGTTATTCCGGTTATATCAGGTACTTAGTTATAAGATTACATTGATAATGTGGTGCTGTATACTTTAGCTGATAAATTAGCTGTTAACGAAAGAACAATGTACATCTTGATAAGTTTAACGACATAACATATAAATTGACAGCATGAACTGTTTTTTTTTTTTTTTTTTCAGAATGCAAAACTGGATTCTACTATGCCTTTTGTGATAAAAGTTGTCCGCAAAACTGTAAGGGCGATACTTGTAACAAGACCAATGGGCATTGCAAAGGTTAGTATATTATTGAAATTACTTCACCGTAGTTTAGTTAAATGTTAATATGCTGCGTTTTAGCTGTGTTTAAGTAATGTACCGCTACTGCATTTGAAGCTCAATTGTCAGTGTTTTTCGCATGGAATAAACAAGATATTGTTCAACAAATAGGAAAAAGAACATCTTGGTAATCTGGATAAGTAACGGTCCTTAAAGACGTCTTATAGATGTCGGCATTGGTCCTCTATGTTTTTCTCTCTCTATTAGTTATGTACCATTGGCAGGTACTTTTTTTGTATATATCAACATATAATTTGAACGACATAAAATGGATGATTTTCAATACCTTACAGTTCTTACATTAAGTACTATTTTATTAGAATAAATTCATAATGTTGTGCTGTATACTTTAGTAAATATATTAGCTGTTAACAAAGAACGATGTACATTTCGATAGGTTAAACGAAATTTCATGTAAATTGACAACATGAACTGTATTTTCTGTTGTTTTTTTCAGAATGCAAAACTGGATACTACTATGCCTTTTGTGATAAAAGTTGTCCGCAAAACTGTAAGAGAGGTATTTGTAACCAGACCAACGGGCATTGCAAATGTTAGTATATTATTGTCAATACTTCCACCGTAGTTTAGTTAATTGTTAATATGCTGCTTTTAATTTATGTTTAAGTGATGTACCGCTACCGCATGAAAGCCAAAACAATAATGTCGATCAGTTGTAAGTGTTTTTCGCATGGAATAAACAGGAAATTGTTCCATCAATAGGATAGAGAACATCTGGATAATCTCGATAAGGAACGGTCCTTAACGCCGCCTTAAGTTGGGTTCTTTGGTTCCTCTATGTTTTCCTCTCTCTGTTAGTTATGTACCATTGGCAGGCACTGTTTTGTATGGCAACATATAATTGGAAAAACACAAAATGGATGATTTTCAACACCTTACAGTACTTCCATAAAGGCAATGATACAAAATTCTAATTACATATACAATACAATAATTACAAATTGTACAAATTGAATATAACTATTTGCGTTCTGGTCACGTTTCAGAATGCAAAGCTGGATACTACGGTGTGCATTGTGATAAAATGTGTCCACACGACTGCAATGACAACTTCTGTATACAGACAAATGGATACTGTGCAGGTTAGTAAGTTATGGCAAATACCTCTACTTTGATTTTTCAAACTTGTATTCAACTCTGTCGCATTTCTTCTTCAACTGATTTAATATTGATAAAAGTATTTTATACTTTATTTCATGAAGAACACCGGCATTCATCTAAAATTGAAAAGTATGTATCAAGGTTCAAATATATTCTAGATGTTTGATAGTATTGTGTGTAAAACAGACGTATATAAATGACTTCAAACTTATTTTTAAAATACACTTTTAAACTAATGCTGACTTTAATAACCTGATTAAAGGTCTTACAGACACCATTAATACTGCTGCAGTCGGGATAGGTGTTGGATGTGGAGTGGTCATTTTAGTACTGGTCATCTTAGTTATTGTACAGACCAGGCGTCTCTCGATGAAGCACAGAGACAACTCGGGACCTATTCAGATGTCCGACATCTTACAACAAGTCAAAAAACACGAGATAAAGACAGATATAGGTAATTTGTGTAATATTACGGAAAATGTCTTTTCTTGTTTTTATATATCAATCATATCTTAAAAGGGAATCTAATATCCTTGATATAAATACGGGATCGTCAACAACGTTTAGCATTATACATTTGTTTGTTTTTAGCTTCAGTAGGTGTTACACGTAGGCATGTTGGTACCGTTTTAGTATACTTTTGGGAAGAATATAATAATTTTAATTCCAACAGAGAGTAAGTATTTAAAAATGGCAAAAATGCCCCTCCTTCAAAAAGTAACAACTCTATCCCATACTATGTAACCTAGCTAAGCTAATAGTTTCCAGATGTTCCGTATAATGCGTTCTGTTGACATGTACACCACTTATCAAGATTTTCTGTTGAAGAAGCCCCAAGCTACGATATGTCAGTGTCTGTTGAAGCCTCGTCCCTGTTTTTTACTTTTAATATATCAACGTTGAAATCTTATTGTGTAGTTTAGTATCGATCATAATATTATACAGACTAAACGTTTATGATGAATAGAAATAAAACCGTCCTGAGAAAAAAATATTTTGCTTATGGATATACTAGAAGCGTGGCATTACTACTAAACATTTCTAATTATTTCCTTGCTACTTTCTATTGCCCTTTTTTCCACCTCCTCGAAATATATATTTCAGATGGTCCTTATGAAGTTGTAGACACTGAAAATAGGAGGCAAATTTCCAAGAGTGCAAGAGCTGAAAAAAAATATGAAAAACTTGATTCCCTGACTAGGACCGTCCCTAACATGTACGATACCGTAGGGATAACTTTGGACGCGGGATCCTAAATACAGCGAGGAACGATGTTTTCTGTTAAAATACTTTACTAACTCATTATTAACTGTTGTGTGTGTTTTTAGCATAATTGGTTCCTCTTGTCTTTCAAAGTTCGGGATAACATATTGAACTGTTGACTCTTTTGCTATGTCTTGTTTCTTTGACGATTATCTTCCCAAAAAAATTGTTTTCATCAAGCGTGGTTGTTTTGTCTAAAATATGCTTGAAATACATCTCTTCAAAATATCTTCATGTCCTGCATTCATTTCAACCTGTATTCAGATATGTCAAACATATAGCAAAAACTTACAAAGAAATCAAACGATATGTGTCTTATAAAAAGTCATATTTCATATATATTTGTATATTAAGTGAAAATAAAATACATATTGCCAGAGTGTTTTTCGTTTGAATAAGCAGCTGATATATTTATTATTGCGGCAAAACCCAAATATTACATAATAATGTTATATCACATACCAAATAGAATCGCAGACTCCATATTATTATTAAAATAATTTAACGATGGATATGTAAGACAAAAAGAAAATCAAAAATCCGGAAAATATCATTTGGGTAACACATCATCAGACCTGATAACGTATCGATAACACCTAAGACGGCACACAATAGATTCCAGAAAATACACATAAGAGGGGTCAGAAAGTAAAGAATAGCCCTAAAAAAGTGTAGAGTACATATCAGAACGAGAACAGTAGACCCATGTACATGAACAGTAGACATCAGAACATGTTAAACAGGAGACAACAGAACATGAATAGTTGATATCAGAAAGTGTACAGTAGACACCAGAACGTTTACATTAGACATCTGAATGTTTACAGTAGACATTAGAACATGTGAAACAGTAGACACCAGAACATGTACAATAGACATCAGAACATGTGCAGTAGAAATTATAATGTGAACAGAAGACACCAGAAAGTGTACAGTAGACACCAGAACGTGTACAGAAGACATCAGAACGTGTACTGTTTACATAACAATGTGTACAGTTAACATCAGAACGTGTATAGTAGAAATTAAATGTTTACAGTAGATATCGAAATGTGTACAATAGAAATCAGAACATGTATAGTAGATATCATTATGTGTACAGTAGACATCAGAAAATGTATAGTAGATATCATTTTGTGCACGTTAAACATCTAAACGTTTACAGTATATATCAGAATGTGTACTGCAGACACCAGTACATGTACAGTAGATATCAGAACATGTATTGTAGACATCAGTACATGTAGATACCACATCGTGTAAAGAAAACTTATGTGAATGTACATTTCACATGAATTTGTATGGAAGTGAAAATATCTAACCTTTTGTAAATGCTCGGTGAGAGAAACAAATACAGCGACATTTACCACTATAGGAAACATTAAACAATTTTTGAGGGGATAAAAGGCCGAATTTGATGATTACTTACACTATTGTAACATAAGATGACATTTTCCTATATAAAATGTCGACATAAGACTTAAAACTTATCTATTTTACAACAATTGTGAAACAAAATCTACTGCGTCACTCGTCCACCCTCGGCACATGTCTACGGTTACTAAAGAGATGGAGTGGTCTTTCAATGGTAATTGTGCAAATGACGGAAAGGAGTTTAAACAGTCCGGACTGCCATACAATAATCGCTTATTATTACGAATACTAGCCTGACTGCCCACACCGGACGACCTATTAAACACAATGGACAACGTAAAACCTGATCAGTCATGAGACCGTACCTGTATGTGTGAGCTAGGTAACCTCATGTTACACGCCTGTTTATCTGAAATATAGTAATGGATATACACATATCGATATAGTATATTTACACCTTTGTAGTCTGTTCGCTAAGGATACGACACCGAGTTCTGGTATTGTTAAAAACTAAATGAGTAATGACTCCATACAATCATGACACAACACTAGTACTATTTATAACTGCCTAACACTAGCTATTGAAAGTCATTCAATGATCGTCACCGTGTAATACATAATCATAAAGATGTAATGAAATCCCAAGAAAACGTCTAGTTTTGTTTTGTACTCCACACTGTGCCTAACTTACTAGTTTAATACACATGAAACAGGGTATGCTATATTTTTAACGTTACTGCCGACGGAATTTACGTGTACACCTATACCTTACTTCCTGGTTGTCGTCTACAGCAGTTGTGTACGACCAAATAATTTGGCCATTCTGACGTATCTATATGCTTTATATCATGCTTTCGGAGCACTACCGAATAATATCCAATCACTCAAGATGGTCAGGGGTGTAGAAGCTGAGTCCATATTGTTTTGGATAGTTTTGTTGTGTATATTTCCAGGGATTCGAATGAGTAGTAAGTTTACAGTTGTTAACTTATTTATCGCGTTTATTGTCAGCCATTATTCGATTATTCAAGAACCTAACACTAGCTATTGAAATGATGGAGTTAAATCATGGGTAAGGCAATTGAATGCTCGTCTTTTTACATTAACAATCGCATGGCTGATATAAAATCCCGAGTCGATGAATGGTAATGTCTAATTTGTTTTGCACTCCACACTGTGCCTGACATACTAGCTTTATTCGTGTCAATAGGACTGACGTTATTTCTGTGTACACCCAAATAACTTAAAACGATTAGTTGTTTCTGATAATGTTCAACGATTAGGCTAAAAAAACAAATCAAACGAAAACTAAAGCATAAATCTAGCTACTGTCATTATACTCATAAACTACCCTTTATGCTGCCTAACACGCACATACGTTACTTTCTGGTCTTAATTCATAATTTAAACGTTAACATTGGGACCACTGACAATGACATATAATCGTTATAAATGGACAGGTATGCTGGAGCTGTGTTCATAGTGTTTGGGATAATTTTGATGGGTATAGTTTCAGGGATTCGAATGAGTTTGTAAGTTTACAGTTGTTTATTTCTTAGGTTTACTTTTGAAATATGATGTAGACAGCAATCAATCAATGTGATCTTATCGGGATTGAATAAATCTGTAGAAACGCCGATAGGTACATTCGTATGTGACTTAAACAGTCGGAAAGATCAACATGACAGTGGTGATACTCCTATTATAATCATTAAGGATTATATAAAAAGTACCACATTTTACCTGAAATAAAGACTGTGCTTTAAGAAAAGACAAAATCAAAATATCATGAATATCATTGGTGCTCTCGTTTGGAAGTTTGAATACAATTTTATTACATTTTTATGATTTACCAATGTCTATGTTTCTATATAACTACTGTGAAGACGAACTTCTCGGCGCTAGAAAGAGATTCATGTCGAAAGAGTACGATAATCTAAAAGGTCCCATATATCATTACTGTAAAGCGGTCTAGAGGGCCACTGTTGAAGTAAATGGCACGTTAAGTCTATGATGAGCTGTTATGTACTTTCCGTGTAACAGTTTCCATATGTTCATATAACAGCAAAAAATCGAAATTGTAATAGATGCAAGGCACATTTACTAAGTTGTTGTACAAATATACCACATAATATATACCATGATGTTTTTCATTGAATTCAGTAATGTGTGTACTTAAAAAAGGAATTAAAAGAATGATAACTCAATTTCACACTTACAGTCAACCTAAAGAATCAGTTGGAATTGGATGCAACGCCTGCGAATATAAATTACCCTGTGTCCGGCACAACAGACGGAAATTACGGCCCTTTTGCTCGCGATATTTGTATGGCCTCACTAGAGGGGGCAAACATGGTCTGGTGGCGAGGGACTTTACCTTCTAAGGCAAGAATACAGAAAATCGACATCGAGTTTAGAATTGCAGGTGAGTCGTTCCTATACCAGTACAAATGTTATAGTAGTAAATTCACCTAGTCCGATACATATATGTTAAGGGGAGTATCTTAATGTGATGAAATATTATGTCAATCGGCATTTCTCTCAACGATTGCATTTTCCAGCATAGGACTAAAACATACTTTTATCTAACTTGGTGAATGATTGTCGGTGCAGCACTTGTTTTCTTGTTTTGCACTTTTGCAAGCCATGTCAATGCTAGAATTAGCAAATAAGACAGACACTATACTTGCCTGTTCCTTAACAATAGTATTCAGTGACATAGACAATCCTTTTCCTATGAGTATCAAGAAGCCATGATGATATAACAGAACAAAACAGATATATCATGATAATCACTCCATGTAATCATGTACAATATGACAATATTGGCTATCCCACTAAATATACATGTACTATATTATCATCTATATACTACTTTAAACAACCCTACCGGTAGCATGATAAATTCATTATCATTGGTTGTCAGTATGAGATGAAGTTGAGAACGACTTGAGAACAACTTGAAAAGAATTTGAGATCGGATTTTCCCATTCCCCAGCAAACGGGAACGCATTTTCTAAAACGAAAAGACGTCTGCACGCGCCAGATGACGTCCGAAACCGAAATAGTGTCCATACAAAAGTGATCCGCGTGGGAATATAGTCCGTCATAAACATATCAATACAAAGTTACGGAAACATGTTTTGAGAATAACAACACTATTGCAGGTGTAAATTTGCATATGGAATAGCCAATGGCGATAGGTTTATTTTAAAAATATGTTTTCTACGTAGTTTTAAGGTTCATTGTATTCCTCCGCTCAAAACCTCTATTTCTTTACGTTTGTCACTGGCAATCGTTGACCATTTAGCATAGAAGTCATTTGGAAAACTGGTGTTTAGTTGAGTTTTTTAAATGGAGAAATATATAAGGTAGTAGTATATAGATGATAAATAGTTTATCATACAGTATTTTCAGTGCTAATCGTTCGAACAATTTTCTCATCGCGAGTGGCCTTTCGATTATATTCACGTGCTCGCGATGAGAAACAGTGGACTCAAGATTTTATCTACGTGCGAGCGATGAGAAAATTGTTCTCCCGACAAACCCTGAACATACCCTAAAATAATTGACAATAACGGTATAGTAACTATAACTTCCCATTTCGTAATGTTAAGAAATCATCCTTCCTGGTTGAACGACCAGGGATGTGCCATCGTCACTTTCAATGGCAGTGTGTGTTTATTTGTATGGTACTCATTCATTATTATCTATTTTTATCTTTACAAGACTATCCTAAGGTAAAGACAAACCATACATGCATTCGTATGCATGTAATAGTAAAATAGTAAAATGCCGCCATGTTGCTTTCCTGTCTTTCTATCAGCGTCGTACACCACATATAAGTATCATACTGCAGAATATTTATAAATAACGATGGTATCGCATTTGAATTCCGACGATGTGTGTCAGTTGTGAACGTATACGTAACAACTCACTGATATTTCGATAAACACGAATCATAGAAGGTAAAATAGTCATTATTAAAATGGTATATACACTTTGTTCAAGGTTGACCTTTGACTCTTGTATTTTTCAATTTATCTTTATCGTCGACAGATCATGCCGATGGCTTTGCCTTGTGGATATCAAACGATACAGGTATACCGTCTGGTAACAAATGTTACGAGGATGTGGACGCCGGCGTCCCAAACCTAACTCAAAACATTACCTCGTGTAACAGAACCGGTCGGAGAGTGATGATAATCATCACAAGGACACCACCACGAACTGAGTATATGGACGTGTGCGAGGTCGATATTTACGGTAATTTAAAATGTTCAACGTTCCTTAATGACCGAGATGATTTTTTTATACAACATGAGAAATGAATCATACATTCCATATAGGCTAAACTTCCGTGGTTGAACTTTCTTTGTATTAAATACGTGAGGTTAAACAAATTGTGTTGTACAATAAACTGCAACTTCATTTAGTTTACATTCAACACAAATGCAAATAAATTATCTTTTGCAATTAGTTCCATGTTTTTTACTTTCTATTTATTTAAATCAAAATTAAAATAACAATCGTTGAGCGAATGTGCGTTTAATAACAACATTTGAGGTTTAAATAAATATACGTTTTCAACTAATTAACTTGCCAGGTTGTTTTACACATAAATATGGTGACCAGTGTCAATTCAATTGTACCCACTGTAAACACGGCTGTGACCCTGACAATGGAGTTTGTGATTCAACACACTGTAATGCGGGATGGACTGGACCACAGTATTGTGATCAAGGTGTGTAAAATAATAGAAGCGTGTTTCTTTAGACATTGCTTAAACCGGTCTGAAATAAGGAGAGGGAAAACAAACATTTCTTTTAAAACATCGAAGGAAGCGCTTCTTCTGGGTTCTTTTTGCCCTACCGTACTCCTCACAAGATAATATTTAAAATATATCCTTATTAATTGCCCTGTATGGCGAAAAATTCGACGTTTTTATCTTTACTCCTTATCGTAACTTACGGTTTGTTGTCTGAACTTATATATAAAGATGAAAACGTTTCTTCAAACCTAAGGGTTTTATATATATTGTCTTCGGGATGAATCATAACTACCTCGAAAATTGGTTTTGTTCGTATTTCTCCTATACATAAATGAATAGTACATGCTATCTGTGCCGTGTGTTATTAAGCCGAAATGTGAGCTGTACTGCGCACGTATAAAACTAGAACTGATATGCATATCTACATTTAATATGTTTATAATTTCACGATTATTTATATGCGTACTACATCATTTATATTATTTTATATATGTATGTTCAATTAGACGTTCATGTTAATAAATTATGTATGTTTCTCTAATATAGCTTGTTCATCAGTTACATTTGGAGAGAACTGTGTTGAGGAATGTCATTGTAAGACGCCCGGATGTAACGGAGTGACCGGACTCTGTCACACACAAGGATGTCAGACTGGTTACCATGGAACCAGTTGCAGTCAAGGTTAGTCACGGCTTTTGATATCATTGTCACGTGTAATTTGTCCGTTTGTTTGTAAACTGTAATTGTGTGAGCATTGAATTTGTTTCCGAATTCAGATGAAGACCATTCCCATGTATTTTGCAATCACGAATACATTTTAGGTAATTGTTGGTTCTGTAAAACAGTTGAGATTTATATACTGCATTACTTATAGGTTGCTCGAACACAACGTTTGGAGAAAACTGCTCATCGATGTGTCACTGTGAAACTCCTCGTTGTGATTCAGGTACAGGTCATTGTATCGTTACCGGGTGTGCAGCTGGCTGGAAGGGGGAGTCATGTGACACACGTAAGTTTAAAATGTCATTAGGTATCATTAGACTGGTGGGAAAACAAGCTAGAAATTTGATATATAATAGCCATTCAAATATGAAATTATTTCATGTTGTACTTAAATATGAATATACTATCTGTAGCTCACCATGCATAGGTAGCTATGTAAAGTAGCGCACGGTGTCCATGGGTGATATATTTGTACAATGAGTTAACCCTGTAATATAACATGTATCAAAACTTAAAAAACAATGAACACTAACATTAGCTTATACATGATGAAGTGGACTATGTTGGCTTCATAATTATTTCAAGAATTTCTTTTTTTTTTGGTTTGAGACTACAGTTTTGGCCATTTTACAAATCTGTGTCTACACAACAAAAGCTAGCTTTACATGTAGTTCACTTTTGTACTCAGCACACGTGTAAGTGTTGTGAAAAATCTGCCGGAATGACCTATGATATTTAATTTTAGACAGTTTTTAAGAAAAAATACTATCTGCGAGGGTCACATTTTGGGCTAAAACACGTTTTCTTTTGCATTTTTTGGATGTTCTTTGATGTGATAACCATTGTTTTCACAAGTCCCAAATTTGGGGAATTTTTGTTTTGGAAAGACATTCATTCTTCTGAGAAAATGTATCAATACTGAAGCTTATAAATATATGTATCCGCCTGAAGAAGCCCTAGAAGGCAGAAAGGCTTAGCGGACGATCTGAAAGATTTTTGTTTTTATTCTATATTTTCCTTCGCATAGACTTATTTATTTATTATCTACTTTATATCTATATATATATATGTAGGTGTGTAGTGCAGGATGAATCCACTATCCATGTGTATCTGAGACATGGCCTTTATTTTTAGGATCAGGCCACTTCTGCTGTAATCTGCAACATTACTTTCAGAATGTTCAGCAAACACTTTTGGCAAAGACTGTCTCCTCACATGTCATTGTAAGACACCCGGATGTAACCATGTCACTGGAATATGTTTCTCATCTGATGGTTGTAGCGACGAATACATTGGTAGCTCGTGCAGTAAAAGTAAGAATTACCACATTGGATTCATCTTAATACTTATAAGTACAAAACAAATAAAAAATAGTTTCCTAGGACTTCCCTAGTACTTTCACCTCTTTAGAGGTCCATCAAGACGCCATATTTATATTGCACTCTAACGTCAATATTTGTGGAAGAACAGAAATGGTGTTACAAAAATAGATATATAGTTACAGGAATAAGTATAGCAACATACTTTTCGCATGCAACGAAACGATCAGTGCTGTTGGAATTTTACACAGGTTTTCATTTATCGATTAACAATGATTGTTTTTGACTTTCTTTTGCATAGTCTCTTCTGTAGTTCGAATTACATGGAACTTATCATTTGCACAAGAAAACATATGTTTATTTATAGTTAAACATCTAAGATGGTCACGTTTTGTCTATTCTCTGTGCTGTGTCATACGTTGACACAATTCCCAACTAGTTTGTCTATTGTCAAATTCAGAACAATGAGCACAGATCATTGCATATATGTATAAAGCTTGCACCTTATTACAAAGATTTAGTGAAACGTATGGAATGGGGTTAACTATGTTGTTTTTATAAAAGTAACTAGAAGGAAGCACATTTTTCAGCTTTAAATTGCATCCGAACATGGATAAAATAAAACAAAAAAATCCAAGGGTAAACATAACCGTTAATCGGACTCAAAATCAATAAACTAAGAGAAAATTTTGAATGAAAAAGCTTCTTTCTGTACAAACATGGGTACGAACATGGACACGAACATAGTATTGAGAATCTGCTTTAGTCAATATAACGATAACAGGAGGGGAGAACCGGTTTCTACCGACAAGAGGAAAACCACCTATACAGGCAGAGCCATCTGCTAATATATATACCGTCCTTAACTTGAAATAAAGGATACAATAGTCTCTTCTATATCAGCCGTTTTCCTTGATCTTTAGTAGCAATATGGCTAAGAGGATCGATAAAGATTATGGGTTAGATTGATAGTTACCGTCATGATATCATTTGGTTATATACTATTTCTTTATGACATATGAAGGTCGATGCTTTTTTATTATGTTCAGTAATGTGCCTTTTTGTTTCGCCGTCACGGCCCCGGTTATCGCTATGAAGACGTGACTTTGATTGGATTTGAACTAAATTCTCATGGCAGGTGTCGTCGATGTAGCAAAATACGCTTACCCTTCCGGAAATCTTCTTATTGAAGAGTCTCCACGTAAAAGATGTTTGTTCATATTTTGCCTCAGGTTTATTGCGTTTGAGTTCTAATTACGGTTATCTTGACACATGTGTTTGTTCTGAATTGACATCCTAAATGTTTAATGATTCCCATACCACTGACAAAAGCTATAACTATGCACTGAAAACCGATTTTTCCGACATAATTTTGGCTGCGATAAATAATTTCTGAAAAGAAACCATATTTTGCGGGATTTTTAGGAAAACTATTAGAGATGATATAGACAAAATATAATCAACAATAGGCTCCTGGTTATAGAAATGCATAGGGGCTAGACAGGGATTCGAACCCTGGACGTCATATTGTAAAACGATTGGCCAATCAGACTGATCTACCTGGTCAGTGGAAGTATCGAGGCTCAACAGTGCTACAGATATGTCTAAAATAAAATCAACGGGAAATTACTGCATATACGAAAAACTACAGTGCTGTGCGACAGAGATCCCTAAATAGGTGATGCGTTACGTAGTGTTTTTCGTTGTTATTTTTAATAACTTATAGCCGTTACCGGAAGTAGTACTACTGTGTATATATTCTGAATAAAATATGTGGTTAAGACGTCGCTTCAACTTTTTTAATGACCTGACATTGGATCAAATATCATTTGGAATGAAATTTCACTCAATACGCATTTTAAATCCCTGAAAAGTGTTACAAAACTTTTTTAACTTACCGTTCAAAGCTGTTCACATGGAACGTGGGCATTTTAATGCAGTGTATTTGTTGGCATTAAAGTATATCTCAGGAAACGGATATTCATTTGCTTTATGAAGAAATGTCCTATTTTGAAGTAGTAATAACTTGTACGGTAGAAATTAAACATTATTAATAAAGCTATTATGGAAGTTTTTATGAACTTGTAAACTTCATAACACTGAGTACTAATTGCTATTTTGATTCTATCATACAAGGATGCGATGATGGTTTCTTTGGTCCATCCTGTGCTCCCTGTTCTACTGGTTGTACCGATCCTGTATGCAACAGAACTTCCGGATATTGTAGTAAGTGTGACATTCACTATCTATTGTTTATAAAAAAACTATCAATAAATTTACGATAGACGACTAAGTTTTAGACTTCATTGCATGCATGTCCATACTATACCTTGGACCTTGGTTATAACTATATTATGCATTGCATACGAAAATGCGCCCTTTCTCTTTCTGTGATTATGATATCCTTTGTGAGGGTTTTTCCGGTTTCCTGTATCACTGATATGTATTTGATCAGGAAATATGAACAAACAATTGGACACATCAGTTAACATGATTAATCACGTGATACAAACATATATATTCACTTCATTGCGTTTAAATTAAATGTGTTGGCCAAAGTTTACACATAACAAAGTCATTCATCTTTATGTTCATATGGTACTTCTTTGAAGTTTTTGATGATTTTAAGGTACCGGGTAAGACATCATCTTTCATGGCAATGATGTAACGTTTTAATAAAGAAGGTATACCGGGTTCAGACTTGGCACATGCATCTATGCATTATTTGTATATGTATGCTTTAACACATTTCATAATTAAAAAACCCTATCTCAGAAGGCGTTTAATTTCGTAAAACAAACAATAACTACGCGTCGGAAGTTATTATTATCAAGACTGATTATTTATTCAAAGAGATGTAACAAATTGAAGGATGTTTCGAGAAAGGTAATCCGTAAGAAATTTGAATTAGATTTAGTGTGGTTTAGTTGGTTTATAATGCTTTACAAACATGATAATTGTGTTGTTAAGGTTGTAAAGATGGTTACCATGGGAATGACTGCAGTCAGATGTGTCCAACCAAGTGTAAAGGACCCACGTGTGCTAAAGTAACTGGGTCCTGTACAGGTAGTTGAAGAATTACTTTACCTATTATCGAAATTTTACCTTATTTTATTTTTTTAACAATTTTTTTTCAAACTTAAAGATTCTGTAATAATTCATATCTCAGTCAATCCCTTTGTTTGAAGAATGGTTCGTTTTCACTTTCTTATTATCACTAATAGAAATAAAAAATGCAATAATATATTTTTTAAGCATTTAATAAATCAATGGTACTTGTAGGTTGTGATCAAGGATTTTATGGCAATGCATGTCTTGATCGGTGTCCGGTGAATTGTGGAACAAACACGTGCTTTCAGTACAGTGGATTTTGTACAGGTATGTAAAATGTTGCAACTATCAATCCGTTAATGAACGTATTCTCCTAGGATGTCACATTGTTATAATGTTAAGCAATTACTAAATAAACCATTTAAACATTACGTTATATGTGAAATGAAAGACTAGAAGAAATAAATGTCTTTGTTCTTTTACTAATAAGCTTGCTGAGTCTCTTTGACACAGTCAGGTAAACTCCTAAATCACATATAAATGATTCAGTATTTCCAACATCAGTATCGCTGAATAACAAAATACTCTTTTTTATTTCTGCCAATTACGTACATTAGAGACGATCGTACAGGAAAGTAATACCAATGAAATGTTTCTTGTTCAGTTTGCGAACCTGGATTCTATGGTGACATATGTGACAAGGCCTGTCAACTCAGAAACTGTAAAAACAACATATGTAACCAGACTGATGGTCAATGTACTGGTATGTAAAAATGAAAACATATAGCAAAATCCCAATTCTTGTATTGTTTCTAATTCATGTTCATCTAATTTTTTAACTTTACTTCTTGACTTGAACTGTGCTTGAGTCCGATATGTATGTCACACCTTTGTTTTTGCACATGGACAATTTAAAATGTTATTTTTTAATTAAGATCAAATTGTTAACACCACCTTTACATGTAACCGTTATACGTAGCTGTTTTAAAAGTCGTTCTTAAGTAAGTGATTTTTATTGACATCCAACTCATACCTTTATCTGTCCATTTTAACTTTTTATTAAATTTACCATTGAACGACTCGTCATTATTAATACACTGTATAATAAGGCATTACAAACCTAGTTAAGTTGAAGAAAACATGTAGAATACACTGCCACAAAACCTAAACTTTAGCAGCTCAACGCAATTTCCATTTTATAGTTTTACAGTAACGTCTACTAGGACGAACAGTATTTTCTGTTTTGCAACTTCTTAATATCAACAGACCACATAGATGAACATGCGGGTGTCACCATTATCGCAATGCTACCATTTATTTTAACTCTAAATAAATTCAAAACTTTTTTTTCTAGGATGTCAGTAGCTTTACTAAATAGTGCCTGTGTAATAATGAAGGTAAAAAAGTATGATTTATATACATGTAGTAAAACGATACAAAACTAAATACCTGCTTTAATTTAGTGTAACTTCTTTTACAGTTGTTATTTGTTCTTAAATGCTCACAAAAGACACGTAAAAGTATTTTTGAAGCATTATCTAGGGTTATCAACTGCAAAACAACTCATACGATCAGCTTGTTTGAGAAACACCCCGCCCCATTTTTACAATTGTCTGGCAACAATTATAGGTTACTAAAAACAAGCCATGGATTAAATTTAAAGTCTGAAACTTATATACTCCATATGTTTGATTGTACTCAATGACGGAAAATCAGCCACTGACAATACAAACACCGTTACTCAATGGTATGCTTTAAAGTTAAGTATGCACGTTGTAGAGTGTGCACCTGGACTATATGGTGCTGTCTGCGACCAGATTTGTCCGGATAACTGCAATGAAGAATGTGATAGAATCACCGGAGTATGCAACGGTACGTTCACTACAACATGATGTTTAACATATGCATTTATAGGCGAGTAAACGTGATACAAAAAACTTTCTTAATGTTTCGTTACCCTAAACGTGTTTATAGGCATAAATGACATCAGGGTCACTGAAAAGTTTGTTATTCCGGTTATATCAGATACTTATTTATAAGAATAAATTGATAATGTGGTGCTGTATATTTTAGCTGATAAATTAGCTGTTAAAGTTTCGTTACCCTAAACGTGTTTATAGGCATAAATGACATCAGGGTCACTGAAAAGTTTGTTATTCCNAAACAAGCCATGGATTAAATTTAAAGTCTGAAACTTATATACTCCATATGTTTGATTGTACTCAATGACGGAAAATCAGCCACTGACAATACAAACACCGTTACTCAATGGTATGCTTTAAAGTTAAGTATGCACGTTGTAGAGTGTGCACCTGGACTATATGGTGCTGTCTGCGACCAGATTTGTCCGGATAACTGCAATGAAGAATGTGATAGAATCACCGGAGTATGCAACGGTACGTTCACTACAACATGATGTTTAACATATGCATTTATAGGCGAGTAAACGTGATACAAAAAACTTTCTTAATGTTTCGTTACCCTAAACGTGTTTATAGGCATAAATGACATCAGGGTCACTGAAAAGTTTGTTATTCCGGTTATATCAGATACTTATTTATAAGAATAAATTGATAATGTGGTGCNGCGGTAAGTAAGTTATGGCGAATACCTCTACTCTGATTTTTCAACCTTGTAGTTAATTCTGTAGCATTTCTTATTTAGCTGTTTTAATTTTGATAAAAGTACTTTGCACTTTATTTCACGAAGAACACCAGTATGTATCTAAATTTGAAAATTATTTATCAAGCTACATAAACATTCTAGATGTTTGATAAAATTGTGTATAAAATAGACATACATACTTGACTTTAAACTTATACTTAAAATACACTTTTAAACTAATGCTGACTTTAATAACCTGATTAAAGGTCTTACAGACACCATTGATACTGCCGCAGTCGAGATAGGTGTTGGATGCGGAGTGGTCATTTTAGTACTGGTCATCTTAGTTATTGTACAGACCAGGCGTCTCTCGATGAAGCACAGGGACAATACGGGACCTATTCAGATGTCCGACATATTACAGCAAGCCAAAAGACATGAGTTAAAGGCAGATATAGGTAATTTTTGTAATGTTACGGAAACGTCTTTTCTAGTTTTTATCTATGTGTAATACTCATATCTTAAAAGAGAATCTAATGTCCTTGATGTAAATAAGAGATCCTCAACAACTTTTTGGCAATATACATTTGTTTGTTTTAGCTTAAAAAGGTGTTATACGTAGGCATGCTTGTACCGTTTTAGTGTACTCTTGGGGAAGATATAATAATTATGATTCCAACAGAGGGTGTAGTATTTTAAAAGGGCAAAAATGCCCCTCCTTCAAACAGTTACAACCTCATCCCATACTTTAAAACCAGATGTTCCGTGTAATGCGTTCTGTTGACATGTAAACCACTTTATCAAGATTTTCTGTTGAAGAATTTCAAACTACGATATTTCAGTGTCTGTTGAAGTCTCGTCCCTGTTTTTTAATTACTTTTAATGCATCAACGTTGAAATCTTATGGGGTAGTTTAGTATCGATCAATATACAGACTGAACGTTTGTGATTAATTGATAAAATGAAGCCAGCATTAGGAAAACAAGTTTGTCTTATACAATTGTTTGTACCCCTATATACGCTTTTTCTTTGCATTACGTTAAGTAGGCGTATTGATAACCATATTTTGCTTTTTGCAACGTAATGAATAAATTAAAAGCGTGACCTTACTTATTGCATCAGCAACGTCGCACTACGAATTAACATTTCGAATTATATTTGTTAACTATATATTGCCCTCTCTTCACCTTTTCTTATTTCAGATGGTCCTTATGAAGTTGTAGACACTAAAATTGGGAGGCAAATTTCCAAGAGTGCCAAAGCAGAGGAACATTATGAAAAACTTGATTCCCTGACTAGGACCGTCCCTAACATGTACGATACCGTAGGGATAACTGTGGATGCGGTATCATAAATGCAGCGAGGAACGATTATTTCTGTTACAATATTACTAGCTCATTACTAACTTTTGTGTGTGTTTTTAGGTTAAGCGCGGGATAACATATTGAACTTTTGAACCTTTTGCTATGTCTTGTTCCTATGACGATTATCTTACCAACTGATTTGTTTTACTTCGTCATCCATTGTGATTGTTTTGTCTAAAACATGCTTGAAATATATTTCTTCGAAACATCTTCATGTCCTGCATACATTTTATCCTGTATTCATATATCTATTTCGGAAAGTTGTCTCCCTTGGTACAAGTTCACTAATATGGAGTTAACTATAATGGTTTACAAATGAAAGAAGAAATGGCGTTGTATGAATAAATATTCTAGAACTGTAACAAATGTACTAGATATCGTATCCACGAGATGACATTTACCATGTCAGGAAGAGAAG